TCATGTGCTAAGATCCAGCCTGGTGCTGGTGGCCAAGGAGAGGTCATTCTTTATGGCAGCCACTCTAAGTTGTGAAACTCCCTCTGCGCAGAGATACACCTGGCAACTTCATTACTGTATACAGTTTTTGGTGAATGCCAAAGATTCACCTCTTTAGCCTGTCCTTTGATAATGGAGATGTATTTCTTCAGGACCAACCCTACTTTTTGTTACTACATTTTTTAAATTGTAAGTTTTTGAACTGTTTTAAACTGTATTTTAAAGTGTTGTACCTGCCCTGGGACTTTAGGGTGAAAGGCAGGTGACAAATTAAGATTTCTACTACACTACTACTACTACTACTACTACTACTACTACTACAAACAACAATATATCATGTTGAGGACTCTCAGTAGCTTCCCACCCAGATTACTCCACCCAGATACCAGACCAATACCAGCTCAGCTTCAGTAGGCTGCAGCGGCAAGTGTTTGAGACTATACATTCACTAGGGAACTAGTAGACTTAACAGAGGCAACAGAACCACTTCAAGAGTTCTGAAGCTTTTATTCACAACCTCCTAAGTCTGCGTTAGATAACTGTCCAGAATCTTGTGAGGTGCATCATTAGAAGAGGTAGCTAGCAGGACCATATTTACCCACAGTACCATCAGAGGCCTACAAAACATTTTCTTTGTGGTTGGGGGGGGGGGAGGGATAATAACACTGCAATATGTAGGATTCTTTTTTTTATTAAGCTTTAATCATTCAGTACAAGAAGGAAATAGGCATGAAGTAGCCAACACTATGTCCTTTGAATAATGAGGAAAGAAGAGGCAGGCCTCTCTACCCTGGTGCAAAACAAAATGAAACTTTTGTCTCACAGCTGCTGCTTACATCTTTATTGGATGTCACACCTCATGCACACTTTGAGATAAAAAGATTGAAAGTAAAGGCTGGTAGAAAACAGAAGTTAATTAGTGGCAGGAGCCTTGTACCAGATGTTCGTCATAGGAAGCAAACTAGCTAGTCATTGAGAGAAACAGGATGCTGCAGTGAGTGAGTCATTGGTTTGACCCAATAATATAGTTCCTATGCTTTTAAACAATCAGATCTATGCCTCTGTTGTGGAGGGTCATCATGTTTTTATAGTCTTCATATGGTGCACATGCACAAAGCCACAGTCATAAGCAATGCTATTCGGTTGAATCTGGGCAGGAACACACAGTTATAGAACTACAAAATGCAGGAATTCTGGAATGCCAAGCCTTCTCCAGAGGCAGCTTGTCAGAAGAAACTCAGCAGCAACTACTGAGGCAGCAGGAAGTTCTGTGGAGGGCTGCTCTCGTTTGCAACAGAGATCAGAATTGTGAAACCACAACTGCTTCAAGCTCAGCTCCTTCTGTGTTTAATTAGCAATTGACATTCCCCCAACTAAAACATCTCAGAAGACCTTTGTCAGAGTATTTCAAGTACTGCTAATCAAACTAAAATCATTTCTTTCAAGGGCAAGCAAGAAGAAGACATATCTAAAATGGTTCTTAACTGGCATATGTTAAGACTAGCAATGCTTTTAACAATAGGCGTAGACAAGCATGCAAAACATTTATAAAAACTTCATATTTAGCCAGGTCCAATTTGTTGTGCTGGTTGTGACGGGTTAGGGTATTACCTTTGGTTTTTAGATTCTTGGTTTCCAACAGACTGTTGTAGTATGTTTCCGCACACTCTGGGACAGCTCTTAAATTGAAGTTTGGAGGCTGCAGAATGGTGACTATCTGTGCAGAATCACCATTTTCTAAACACTGGTTTATCATTGTTGTCCCAATGGCCACTAAAGGACAGAATAATGTTAAAGGTTATCAATTATGCATTTCCAGCATAAGGGCCCTTAAGCAGATTTGTGGCATAGGGTGAAACCACCGTTTTCTAGTCCAGTTCATGGTAACTGACAATGACCCCTCCCCGCATAAAACGGGGGGCGACCTTTGTGTGGACGCGCGCAGCCCCTGGATCTGGAGCGGCTCCATCAGCATAGGCTTGGCTTTGCCTTCCCTCAGGTGGGATACCTGGAGGCCTCCGCCTACCCCAGTCAGCTGTCCAATCCCACCTGGGGGAAGCGTTGCCAAGGAGATCAGGCCAGGTAGGGGAGGGATTACCTGCCCACACAAAGGGAACTCATGGATTGGGGATTCATCTCATGCACAGGACATATGCTTTACATCAGATTATCGTGGGGAAAATAATCTGAATAATTCAACAATAATCTGAATGTGGGAGTTACTGATGACTCTGACTTTATTAAATATTTGCACAGCCATTCAATGGTTAATTAAAGATTGCTGAAATTTAATGCAATGCGAATGCTTAGAGAGAAGTTGCGTGCTATAATGAAATGTCCTTAAAAGAGATATCTGATTTTGACATATTTCAGAGTGGCTGGGAAATCCAAAGAATGCAATTGGTTATGCTAGTCATGTATTGCTTAATTTTTGAGAGAGTAATTAGGAATGATTTTTTTGTTAAGTGGGAGATGGGCTTATGTGTTACACTGCCACCGGGGGAGGAAAGCCTTCAAGAAACTAAGCAGAGTTAAGCTACCATGTTCCGAGAAGTGGCTTATTTGAACTCCATCAGCGTATAGATATAGAAACAGATATAGATATCAGTGGTAAACTTGCTTTGGGTTCAGAGGCTTCACTGAGTTTGGAGACTCAGAAGCTGTGCTTGGTGTCAGGTCTAAGCCTCGGAATATGTTACAAATAACTAAGTATCTGAAAACATCCAGAGTGCTTTTTCCCATAACCAGCCTGGAATGTGATCAGAGCAGGGACAAAACATCATACAAGCCTTAAGATATATATTTAATGTTCTTATAAATGAGTAACACTTCTGAAAGTATCATATGTATGCTTTTTATTCTTTTAATCCCCCCCAACTGCCCCTCCTCTTCCATACTGCCTTTAACAGTTAAGCTTGAACTTCAGAGTCTCTTAATTCACAGAAGAACTTAGTTCCAGTGCAGATGCAGAACTGCTCAAGGCTGGGCACGGCAAGTTTTAAGCAAAAGTGGCATAGCAGCTAGAGTTCCAGACTAGGACTGGGAAGACATGGGAACAAATCCTCACTCAGCTGGAGAAATAAAGACCCACATATGCCATCTTGAGCTCAGAGAAGGAAAGCCCTTTTAAGTAGTGATCTTTCCAAGTCTGCATCTGCATTGGTATTATTTTCAGATGTTTTAAGTGTTTTATTTTTTGTGCATTTGCTGCCCTGGGTTTAGTTGGGAGGAAGGGTGGGATATAAATTTTAAAATAAAACATCAACAACAGAAAGAAAGAAAGAAAGAAAGAAAGAATTGAACACTGCTTCCCACAATGCTCTCACTTTTCTTTTGTTACATTCTTCCCCTCTGGTCAAATAGGTTTAGCAAATTTTAGTAAAGATATTAACCCTATAAAACTTGCTTATAAGGTTCAGAGCACATAAACAGCATGAAAACATTCATATTGTAAACAAGGAAATAAGGAGTAGTTTTTAATGAATTTTATGTGGGTTTTAGATTGTATTAGCCGCCTTGAGTATGGGATGAAGCGATGTAAAAGGTAAAGGGACCCCTGACTGTTAGGTCCAGTTGCGGATGACTCTGTGGTTGCGGTGCTCATCTCACTTTACTGGCCGAGGGAGCCAGCATACAACTTCTGGGTCCTGTGGCCAGCATGACTAAGCCGCTTCTGGCAAACCAGAGCAGCGCACGGAAACACCGTTTACCTTCCCGCCGGAGCGGTACCTATTTATCTACTTGCACTGTGTGCTTTCGAACTGCTTGGTTGGCAGGAGCAGGGACCGAGCAACGGGAGCTCACCCCGTCACAGGGATTCATTCATATTGTAAACAAGGAAATAAGGAGTAGTTTTTAATGAATTTTATGTGGGTTTTAGATTGTATTAGCCACCTTGAGTGTGGGATGAAGTGATGTACCAATGTTTAAAATGAAGAAAAACCCAAACAAGTTTGCAGCTCATTTTGGGTCACATCTTCTCTCCAATACTTGTCTGCTTTACAAATAACTTTATCACTCAGGTGGAAAATGGCATAATTACTCTTTCTCCTCTGGCATTAAAATGGGGGGAGGGTTCTAATATGTAAGTCTAGCTAGCCAGGGAGGAGGGTTCTACTTTAGGCTAACTTTCTCCGATATTTGCTGGTTTTCTAAGCAAAGGAATGCAGGTTTATTCCTAATTTGGGTAGCAAACATATAATACCCACTTTCAGGCTGAAATGGTACAGTCGCTAGAAGGATTATATCACACACTACAAAGCAGAGAAGGCAAACCAATGAATCTAGTAAATCAGCAACAATATCCAAAATTCAACAGCTTGTCATTTTTAGTGTTTACTAAATCTTTGGTCTTTTTTGAGGGAGGGGGAGTTTCATCCTTGGACAATCAGCAAACAATTCAAGCAAAAGCAAACTTAAGTTAAATGATGTCATTTTCTTTACATAAAATAGTTGAGAGTCAAAGTAAACAGACTTGGGTCCATATAGATTGTATATTTCAGACTGTGACTTGCTAGGTGTATATTTGACTTGTGGAGGGGGACAAAGTTCCAGGTAAACAGGTGTCAATACTTGGTTTCAAAGTTCATGTCTACCTTTTCAGGAAGGGAACAGCAAGTACTTTTAACAACAAAAGTAGCGTTCAACATACTGAAGTACTAAGCTTTAACAACCTCTACCATCCACAAGTCAACATGGCTTTATTCTAGTTGGTTATTCCATACCAACAGCAGCTTGGCTCTTTTAACTTGCCAAGGTTTACTGCATTCACCTTCACAACAATCATATGTGATTTAATGGATGGGAAATTGAGGGTCTAGGAGTAAAGTTATGACAGAGGTAGAAAAAATAGGAAATTGCCTTATAATGAGTCAGACCATTGGTCCATCTGTCCCATTGTTGTTTGCAATGACTGACAGCAGCTCTTTAGGATTTCAGACAGGGGTCTCTCCTAGACTACTTGGCAATGCCAAGGTTTGAACCTGGGAACTTCTGCATGCAAAGCAGATACTCTACCACTGAACAAAGGCCTATCCATAGATGAGATAGTGAGATTTATAATTCTATATTACCAAGGTAGGAAATGAGTCAATATCTTGGTCACTTAGTTGAAATTCACAAGATTATTCAAGGGAAGTTGTGAAATTTTTTGGTAAGCTTACATCTCCCGCTATCAGTTGCATCTCTATACTAACTAAGTTCTATCCTTGAAAGCCATTGCACACAATCATGCAAGTATGAATTCCCAAGGTAAATTGGTCTTGTGAAATGGAATTTAAATGGCCTTGTTGAAATAGAGAGTGAGCCTTTTACTGCTATTGCAAAATAACGATTAACAGTTCATACAATGGATTCAGGTGGGTGCTTACATTTTGATGCATCTTCTATGTTCGTGTTGGCATCATCAATTCCTTTCTGTATCTCATCCAGCCAAAGGACTGAAGAATCATCATGAGATTCCTGGAGAAGGGAGAAAAGGGCACTAAAATTAATACAGTTTCTTGGATCTTAATTTGTCCAATGAAAAACCATGTTTACTCAACCTTTCTGAAATATTGCGACAAGGTATGAGTTTGCGAGTTCTGAAAGCTATGATACCAGATGGGATGAAAGGCCATGAAAAATGAAAAGTTTTGTTTTGTTTTCCTGGGTGTACACACACTTAATATATCTTATTTTGAACATCATTATCCCATTTACTCTGCAGAGACAGCAGCACAGTATGTGTGCTCTTTGCTTGTGATGCATTGTAGTCAGGATAATATCAGGTGGTATAGGGGAGTTTGCAGTGTTAAATACTTGGTTCTTGAAACTGGGAATGGAAGATCAGCTTCACATTTTCTAATTCTATTGCTAGACTGGAAACTTCACAAACTCTGGGTTGTTTGGTATGTTAATAATGTTCATTAACAGAGATGTGGGTTTAAAGTTTATTCCCAGAGAAAAACATTGAATGTATTAGACTTGCACAGGAAGATGACTCAGTGCCCATGAAAGAAAGCTGGCTTGCAATCTCAAGATCTTTGCAATATGAAGGATGTGTGCGTGCAAACAAGTAAAAAGCCACATCATCCAACTATACCACTATGAAATTTATAACACACACACACACATTTCAGCTTAGGGTTTAAAATACAATTAGATTCCTATTGCATTTGGAAAATGAGGTTGACACATTTTTTAAAGCTAGATAACTTTTTGCATTTACATAAAACAAAGCTCATTTCACCAAAATTCGGCTTCAGGAATTTGGTAAAAACTCACAACTGACATACAGGTCTGTCACCATCAAGTCTAGTTGGGTCTTCAGAGACTTATGCACAACTGAACTGGTAGTACTCATGGTGATTTTAATTATTATTATGATGGCTTAATCTGATATGTAAACAAGGCCATAGTTTATCAATAAACAAAATTATTTGTTTCAGCTAAAGTCTTGAGTCTGTGGTCTTTTATCACTGGTTATGCTTTATTCCCAGGCCTACTGGGTTGCTAGAATGCAAATTCAAGCCCAGATTAGGCCAGCAAATTAACACCAAGTTTTCCTCCTCTTAGATAATTGTTTTGGAAGTCCTAGAGACCGAACACCCATTCTTCTCTCTACTTATGGTAGTTCAAGAGTTAACTTCACTCTTGTTAAATGAAGCTAATCTCTGTGTCAGCTCAAAGCTTAAGCAGCTTTGCCTGTTTCCACATTCTGGTGTGTCACACCCTTCTCCAAAGAACAAAACAGCAAGTTTCCTCAAAATCGCTAGTACATACAGGATGAGTTCAGTTCACAGATCTGACGCTCTAAGCATTTCTTTCCCTATAAGGAGGATTAAGCAGCAACGGAGAAGCTAAAATGCATATTTTTAAAAACTGAGTTTTGACTACTGCTACAATGACATCTATACTCTTATTAATAAGTGGACTGCTCTTCATATCCTCCTGCTTATCCCAGAAAGGTAAGAAGTTCACATTTGTGTTGTGTCTTAGTTCTTTTGACAGAAATTGACCAAGTCAAAGTCGTATCTGTATCTATCTTTTAATGGAGTATTAAAATCTCAAATGAGGCAGATTTCTATTTCAGTGATGGTATCTTCATGGGTAAAAAGAAGTATTAATGCTCAAGTATCTTGATGGGAGAAAACAATATATTTAATGCTTAATTTTCATTAGTAGTACTTGGTTGTAATGTGTCACTGCCTTTGGTAATGTTCCCTATTATACATAGGCAATGGCAATCCATTGTGGAAACTTAACTTTTCATTATATGCTCTTTGGTTATTTGAAAATATATTAATGCATTAATACACAAACAAACAAACAAACAAACAAACAAACCCCTACCCCTTTTGAGGACTTTACAGAGTACTAATCTAATAGCATTCCTAAAACACATTGCTAATAAAAATAACATCATCCCAAAGTTGTCTGAGTATTAACGTAACTTCTATACACAATGAAGTTCTGTTTAGCATAACGTAACGGGGATTAAGAACAAACAAAATACTTGATTACTACTTTATTTTGTCTGTTTCAAGTCTCTTCTCAGTCCTGCCTTCATATCTGAATATTTTCTCTATTGACAGGATGATAAATGAAGGCTGCTTGAACAGTAAATGTTTTATTGGGAACTAGAATCATTTGTTTACTCAGTTATGAGAATCCAGAAAACAGCCCTGCAGTATTTCCAGTGTTGTCTAAGTCTTTAAAGACCTGCTTTATTGTAATTTCCCCAACTTTAAACATACACTGCAGTGTTGGGCTTTTCCAGCCTTGACAGGCAAAGTTCTTCTCACCTAATACAAAGGTTCCTACTCACCTAATACAAAGAAAGATGTGACGTGGTTTCACAGTTACTGCAGGAAAGATAGTGAAACTTGCAGGCCTCACATTAATTGGCACTCAAGCAGTTTAAGGTTGCAATCCCAAATTTTATTTACAAGGGGGAATAACTTACCTCTGGGATAGTAATTTAACTGTGGGATACAGAGCTCACCCCCCAAGCACAGAAGTTAAAGTAACAAGCAGACCATGAAAGCTAATTTTGTAGGTGAAGTTTGTGTGTGTGTGTGTGTGTGTGTGTGTGTGTGTGTGTTACCAATCCTTATATGGCAAAGAAAAAATTTTTTGCTTCCCAAGCTGATTTCTGAGAGCCCTTTTCTTTCCCTAAAATTAGCAACATATTTGTATCATGTATTGCATTTATATACCATCTTTTTCTCTGGGGAGCTTAAGATGATGCAAATGGTTCCCCCCCCCTTCATTTAATCCCCACAACAACTCTGTGAGGTAGGTTAGGGCTGAGAGACAATGACTGGCCCAAGTACATGCTTGTTGGCTAACTGGCAATTTGAGCCCTGGACTCCCAGGTCCTAGTCTGACACCCATTGTATACCGTATTTTTTGCTCTATAAGACTCACTTTTTCCCTCCTAAAAAGTAAGGGGAAATGTGTGTGCGTCTTATGGAGCAAATGCAGGCTGCGCAGCTATCACAGAAGCCAGAACAGCAAGAGGGATTGCTGCTTTCACTGTGCAGCGATCTCTCTTGCTGTTCTGGCTTCTGATATTCAGAATATTTTTTTCCCTTGTTTTCCTCCTCCAAAAACTAGGTGCGTTTTGTGGTCTAGTGCATCTTAGAGAGCAAAAAATATGGTATATCATATTCAGGGAAACACTGTTCATTACACACACGCACACTATTTGAGTATAAATTACTGCAACTACCCCTTTTTCTTTTTAACTTTTAGACAGAGAATGTAACAACAACAGTAGCCTGGAATGTCAAGGTAACAAACTGCACCCCATCAGGACTTTCCATGGGGCTCCACAAGGTGCTTATGAAAAGATACCTCATTCTGCCATGGAAGGCGCAACAAGGACCAATCACAACCAAGAAAACAACTGTTCTGTGAAGAGGTCCCACGTTTCAGTACTGAAAGTACGCAACACCACGTTGGAGTACCTTACCAGCCCTCTGAGTGTAAAGCTGATTCCAGCTCTATACATAGCTGTTGTTTTAATAGGGGTGCCCGCAAATGCCTTTGTACTATGGACACTGTTTTTCAGAATCAGGTCGGCCCGGATTGCTATATTCTACACAAACTTAGCCATTTCGGATTTTCTCTTCTGTATCATGCTGCCGTTCAAAATTTCCTATCACCTCAGAGGCAACAACTGGATATTTGGAGAACCAATGTGTCGAATCATGACTGCCATCTTCTATGGCAATATGTATTGTTCCACGCTCCTCCTCACCTGCATCAGTATCAGCCGTTATGTGGCCATTGTTTATCCATTTACTTACAGGAGTCTACCCAAGCAGCCCTTAGCAACAGTAGCATGTGGAGCAGTATGGACAGTTGTTTTCTTATACATGCTGCCTCTGATCATAGCGAAGCAAAGCTATAATCTGGATCAACTAAACATCTTTACCTGCCATGATGTCAGCAATACCTGCGAAACTCCATCATCCTTCCAATACTATTACTTCATCTCGCTGGCAGTATTTGGATTTGTGATTCCGTTCTGTATTGTTATTTTTTGTTATGTTTCAATTATCCGAACACTCAAATCTTATGATCAAAAGTGGCTGTGGTACATCAAAATCAGTCTTCTCATCCTCAGCATTTTCGCTGTCTGCTACACACCCAGCAATGTCATACTGATCGTTCATCATGTGAATTACCATCGCAATTCTACAGACAATTTGTATTTCTTTTACCTTATTGCTCTATGTCTAAGCAGCCTGAACAGTTGCCTTGATCCATTCCTTTACTTCATGATGTCCAAAACCAAAGATAACACCAGCGTTTCTCTCACCATGGTTAAAATACCCCGGGATGAAAAGACGTGACACACTTCTGCTGTGATACTTGATGAAGTTGTATATACATCATTTGTTCATAAATTTACTATTTAAGATATCTATTTTTATAATGGCAAAACTGAATAAATTCATACTATTTTAGGGTTGCAAGGTTTAACTGATATCGCTGAGGACAAAATTTAACTGTTGGGGATATACATTAAAGACACACATCTG